AAGAAAGAAATATATCATAATCCAATTATTCAATATCAATTAGAAGAAATAAATGGAATTAGAAATGAAGAATGTTGTCAAAAAGTTATTTCAGAACGAATTAAATATATTGTAGAATTAATAACAATTAAATGTAAATTATAATTCATTCTATAAATTATCACATCCAAAATATTAATTACTTAATTATTTATATCATTAAATTATTCAATAAAATATTATCATTATTTTCATTTTATTTCTTATTTTAATTAAATTATATAATAAATAATGAATAAATGATAAAATTATGAAAATATTTAATTAATATCTATACAAATCAATTTTATCATTCATAAAAATATTAATTTATATTTATTTCTTTTATTTTAATCATTTTTATAACAATGATTAATTTAATTCTATTTGATTTTATTCTCCAATTCATTCATTTTTAGTTATTTTCTTATTATTTTCATTCTTTATTTCTATCTTTATCTTTTATTTCTTTTCTATTTATTTATTATATATTATTTTACTTCTTTGTTTATTTCTTTTATTTATTAATCATTTGATTTCAATATCAATTTTAATTTTATGATTCTTTCATATTATTTATTATTTATATTCATTAATTTATATTCATATCTTTTATTTCTTTTATTTTTCTTTTCTATTTTACTATTTCATTTTATATTATTCATTTATTTTGAATTGATTATTTTATTTATTTATATTTGATTTATTTCTTGTTATATTCTTGTTATTATTTTAATTTGATATATTGTTGAATTTATCACATTTTATTCTTTAACAAATAATATGATTGAAAATATAAAGAATCAGAGAATAAAAATAATAAATAAGAAAATGATGAAAGAGATTATAATGATCAAATGAAATAATAATAACAATGTTTAACAAAATTATAATGAATGATTTAAATAATATTTCATCATAAATTATTCAATTATTATGTTTATTGTTATATCAATTAATTTATACATTTTATGAATTTATTCATTCTTATTGTTTTATCTTCTTAATTTTCTTTATTTCTTTATTTTATTTATTATTTATTTTATTTCTAATTAATGTTGACAATTTATATTTTAAATATTAATGAATTATTTTATATTATTATTATGATATATCATTCTCTTTATTTCTTTGTTATTTATTATTTTATTCTTTATTATTTTCTTTATTATTTATTCTATTTGATTATTTATATTTATATTCATTTAAATTTATTTCTTATTTTTATTTATTATTTATTTTTATTTATTATTCTATTCTCTTTCTTTTAACATTTCTATTTTATTATATTTATTATTCATTAATTTTTATACTTTCATTTATTATTTATATTTTCTGTATTTTATTTATTTAAATGATTTCTTGTGTATTTTTTATTATTATTTCTTATTTGATTTCTTTGAAATAAATCATTACATAAATTATTTGTTTCATTTTGTTTTTATTAATAATGTTTTCTTTATTACAATTGTTATATTTATCATTGATCATATTCTTTATTAAATTATATTTTATTATGTTTTTATTCATTTTTATTTGTTATTTATTTTATTTATTATTTATTTGTTTATTTTATAATTCTTTTCTATTATATTATATTCATTTATTATCATTGAATAAATTCATATTTAAATATTAATGAAATATTAATGAATGAAATGAATGTTATGTTTTAGAAATATGTTAATAAATAGAATTTGTATAAATTATCATTTATTATTTAATTTTCATCATTTTATGTTAATTATATTTTATTATTTTATTCTTTTATTTTGTTTTCGTTTTATTTTTGATGATAATGAATAAAAACATTATATAATGAATAATTAATATGTTTAAATGAATGAAGTGTAAATAATAAATAATTATTATTTATCATTATTCATTTCATTTTCATCATTTTAAATATATTTTATTTATTTATTTATTAAATATATAACGAATCAAATAAATAAAAACTACTTAATTAAGTATTAATAATTTTATTTTATATTGTTCAGGGGAGATTAATTAATCTATTTGTTTTAACATTGTATTTTCATTATCTATTAGTTTATTCTTTTAATTTATTGTTGAACTGTGATAATTTCATTTTCTCTTTTATTTAATGTACAATAAAGTATTTTAAACATCCATTACTTAAATATTCATTATTTAATTTCTTTTTGATTTTGATGAATATTAAAATTATTCTTCATTTTCTTATTTTAAGGAGAATATATAATTACTACTGTATTACTATGAGTTAATACTCTTTTTAGAATCAACCACTAAATCCTTTTTCTTTATTAATCTTATATTAAATGTACTTGTATTCTAACAAGTAATAATACCATCTTTATAAATACCCATTTGTTTATTATCAATGATATCCATCATTGTAAATAATAAACACTGTTATTCTTGTAGTAGTGGGTAAGATGTTTGTCCAACTAAATACAATATTACAATCAGTCCATAACTGGTTGATTTGAATGATGATAATATTTTAGTGAAGTGTGTTTTGTCTCTGACGTGATATCTTTGAATCTAATTAATAATAATAAAAATAAAGAAAGAAAAGAATAAATTAAGAATGAATAAAAATAAAAGATAATAAAATAAATGATTTCATAATTATTTATCATTAATTATATCATTAATTATATTATCATTTATTATAAATATATTGATTATTCATTTATTATTATATTTATTATCTTTTATCATATTTTATTATTATATTATTAAATAAAAATAAAATATAAAATGAAATAATGAATAAAATATAAAATAAAATGAAATATTTAATAATTATAATTTATTAAAAATAAAAATAAATAACATTTTATTTTATTTCTTATTATTTATTGTTTTTCATAACAAATATCAATTAATAAAAATAGAAAAATGATAAAGAATAAAAAAGAAGAAATTAAAATATAAAAATAAAAGAACTAATAAAAACAACTAATAAATAATAAATCAATAATGAAATTAGGATATAATTCAATAATGATAGTATCAAAGTATTTTGATGATATTAATGATTTTATTAATTTAGAAATTGGAATTAAAAGATTTCAAGGAAATATGGAACGATTTCATTTTAATCCAATTCCATTAAATAAATATTCAAGAAAATTATTTACTAATATTGAAACATTTCATATTTATAATAAATATGATAAAATATTTGATGATGGAATAATATTTAAACATGTAATATGGTATCAAGTAGATTATTCAACATATTTAAAAGAGAAAGAACAAGGAAATATCTGTAAAAATATAATATATACAGAAGAAGATAGAGATAAATATGGAAATACAATACCATCAGAAGTTAAATCACTTGGAGCTTGGTGTTTTTCTAAATGTTCATCATTAACATCAATTAATATACCAACATCAATTAGTGAAATAGGATATGGATGTTTTAATGAATGTACATCATTAAAATCAATTAATATACCATCATCAATTACGTCAATAGGATGTGATTGTTTTTATAGATGTTCATCATTAACAACAATTAATATAGATAATTTACAATTTATTAGTAAAGAAAGAATATTTATGAATGAACCAGTGTTAATTAGTTGTGAAATACCAGATAATCTACAAATAATCAATGGAAAGAATATTTGCAAGAAAGATATTAATGAATTTATTATTCCATCTTCAATTACTAAATTAGGTGATTGTTGTTTTAGTTATTGTTCATCATTAAGATCAATTAATATACTAGCAACAATTAATGAAATAGGAAATTGTTGTTTTGATGGATGTTCATCATTAAGATCAATTAATATTCCATCATCAATTAGTGAATTAGGAAATTATTGTTTTAGATATTGTTTATCATTAAGATCAATTAATATACCATCATCAATTACGTCAATAGGAGATTGGTGTTTTAAAGGATGTTCATTATTAAAATCAATTAATATACCATCATCAATTATATCATTTGGAGATGGATGTTTTTATCTATGTGGATGTAAAGAAAAATTAAAGAAAAATAAAAGAATACCAAGAGATTGTTTTGAATTATGATGAATGAAATAAAAATACAATAAATGAAATACAATATAAATTGAAGTAGAAATAAATTATAATTGATTATCATTTATATTATTCTGTTATTCTTTTCTTATTTATTCTTTTTGATGAAAATGATAATATAAATATAAAATGATAATAATTGAATAAATCTATTTGTTTATGAATGTTATTGTTGATACAATAATAAATAGAAATAAATAAACAAAGAGTTAAGAAATTAATGAATAAAATGAAAGTATAAATTTAGTTTATTAGAAATATAAATATTGAATCTAACATAATTTATCTTGTATGTCTTCAAAAAAGTATATTATCAAAATTGAATAATTAATTGATAAGTATTTTATTAATAATTCATACACTTTCTTATAATAATAAATATTTTGTATCAAATAGAATAAACATATTTATAACATGTGTCTTTCTGTCATTTTGATTAATTCATTTGAAGAAAACTTCAAAGAATAATTATTATATTAATTTTTAATGTTTATTTGTATTTTATTAAAAATAAAATAGAAAAAAAATAATTAAAGAAAATAACGTTATAAATAACAAAAGAACACGTGGAAATGAGAAAGCAATGAGTGGATAGAATGAAAGATTTGCATAAACAATAAACCACGTGAGCATGATACAAAAGGAGAGAATGATATATAAAGGAAGTCAGAACTAAAGAAGTCATTAAATGAGTAAATATACAGGAATAGGTATTGGAATAGATTTAGGTACAACATATTCATGTGTTGGTATTTGGGAAAATGATCGAGTAGAAATTATAGCAAATGATCAAGGAAATAGAACAACACCATCATATGTTGCATTTACTGATACAGAAAGACTTATTGGAGATGCAGCAAAGAATCAAATTGGAATGAATGTTAAGAATACAGTATTTGATGCGAAAAGAATGATAGGAAGAAGATTTAGTGAACCAAGTATTCAAAAAGATATGAAACATTGGTCATTTAAAGTAGTTGATGATGGACATGATAAACCAATAATTGAAGTAGAATATAAAGGAGAAATTAAAAGATTTACACCAGAAGAAATATCATCAATGGTATTAACTAAAATGAAAGAAACAGCAGAAACATTTATTGGAAAAGAAGTAAAGAATGCAGTTATTACATGTCCAGCATATTTTAATGATTCACAAAGACAAGCCACTAAAGATGCAGGAACAATTGCAGGAATGAATGTAATGAGAATTATCAATGAACCAACAGCAGCAGCTATTGCATATGGACTTGATAAAAAGAGTTCAGGAGAGAAAAAAGTATTAATATTTGATCTTGGAGGAGGAACATTTGATGTATCAGTACTTGTAATTGATGAAGGAGTATTTGAAGTTAAAGCAACTAATGGAGATACACATCTTGGAGGAGAAGATTTTGATAATCGACTTGTCAATTATTTTATTGAAGAATTTAAAAGAAAATATAAAAAAGATATTAGTGGAAATGCACGAGCAGTTAGAAGATTAAGAACAGCATGTGAAAGAGCAAAAAGAACATTATCAAGTGCAAGTGTTGCTAATATTGAAGTTGATCAAATATATGAAGGAATTGATTTTTATACATCTATTACAAGAGCTAGATTTGAAGAAATTAATATTGATTTATTTAAATCAACTATTGGACCAGTTTCAAGAGTATTAGAAGATGCTAAAATAGATAAAAGTAATATTGATGAAGTAGTATTGATAGGAGGAAGTACAAGAATTCCAAAAGTAGTTGAAATTTTACAAGAATTCTTTAATGGAAAAGAACCAAATAAAAGTATTAATCCAGATGAAGCAGTTGCATATGGAGCAGCAGTACAAGCAGCTATATTAACAGGAACAGGAGGAAAAGCAACAGAAGATGTATTATTACTTGATGTTGCACCACTTACACTTGGAATAGAAACAGCAGGAGGAGTTATGACAGCATTAATTGGAAGAAATTCAACAATTCCAGCAAAGAAATCAGAAATATTTTCTACATATACTGACAATCAGCCAGGAGTATTAATTCAAGTATTTGAAGGGGAAGCATCAATGACATCACATTGTAATTTACTTGGAAAATTTGAATTAACAGGAATACCACCAGCACCACGAGGAGTTCCACAAATAGAAGTTACATTTGATATTGATGCAAATGGAATATTAAATGTAACAGCAGAAGATAAAACTACAGGAAAGAAGAATAAAATTACTATTACAAATGATAAAGGCAGATTAAGTAAAGAAGAGATTGATAAAATGATAAGAGAAGCAGAGAAATATAAAGCAGAAGA